CATATTTTAACTAACTTTCTTCTTCACTAGCAATCGCTAACGTTATCATATCAGACTCCATTATGGAATGAGCCATGATACTTCGTTTCCTTGATTTCTAAGATACAACTCCTTTAGCTATGGAATACATAGCCACTAGTTGCTTTGGAATCATCTAATAATATGTTCCAATCTGCATCACTGTACCCTTCAAGTACAGCCAGAAATTTCTGATAATGTAAACTGAGATATATGGTCCTTTTAAGGTACCTCATGACTCGCTTAATAGCTTGTCAATGCTCGTAACTCGGTTTACTCGTAAACCTGCACAATAATCCCACTGCATATGCAATGTCGGATCTAGTATAATCAGTGACATACCTAAGATTGCCAATGATGCTCGCATATTTTGTTTGTCTAACACTTTCACCAGTGTTCTTAAACAGTTTCACACTTGGATCATAAGGTGTGCACCCAAGTTTACAGTCGAAGTAATTATACTTCTTTAAGATCTTTTCCACATAGTGTGATTGATCCAAGGAGATGCCTTGTTCTGATCTCGTGATCTTGATACCAAGGATCACACTTGCTTCACCGAGATCTTTCATATCAAAGTTGTTGCACAACAATGATTTCACTTCATTGATGGTCTGAATGTTTGACCCAAATATGAATAGGTCGTCTACATAGAGACATATGATAGTGCAAATGTGATTCTCATATTTGTAATAAACACATTTGTCACTTTCATTCATCTTATACCCATTTGATATCATTAAGTTGTCAAACTTTTCATGTCATTGCTTCCGAGCTTGCTTCAGCTCATACAAAGACTTGTCTAACTTACAGACCTTGTTTTCTGGTCCATGGATCACAAAGCCTTCCGGTTGTTCCATATAGATTTCTTCTTCTAATTCACCATTGAATAAAGTTGTCTTAACATCCATTTGGTGTACTATTAAACTATAAATAGCAGCTATTGAGATAAGTACCCTAATGGATGTCATTCTGGTGACCGGAGAAAAAGTGTCGAAGAAATCTATATTCTCTCTTTGTCTAAAACCCTTGGCTACAAGGCGAGCCTTGTATTTATCAACAGTTCCATCAGGTTTTAGTTTCTTTTTCAAAACTCATTTACAACCGATTGGTTTGCATCCAGGAGGCAAGTCTACTGAGTGACAGATCTAGTTAGATTCTAGAGAATCTATCTCATCATTAATAGCTTCTTGCCAGATATCTGCATCCAGAGATGACAAGGCTTCTTGAAGATTCATTGGATCTTCCTCTACATTATAGGTCGCATAATTCTTCCCATAGTCTTTAGAAACTCTTACTCTTTTACTTCTTCGAAGTTCTGTTTCTACATCGTCGTTGCTTTTTGTGCTTCTTATCACATGAATGTGACTCGATTGAGTGCCCCCACTATTTCTCGATTTGAAAGGAAATTTTTTTCTTCATAGAATTCAACATCATTTGATTCTATGATCACTTTTGCATTTAGGTCATAGAACCTATATGCCTCACTGTTTGCTTCACACCTAATGAACACACATTCATAGGCTCTATTAGCAAGTTTAACTCGCTTCGTATCCTGAATTCTGACATATGCCAGACAAACCCAAGTTCTTAAATAAGACAATTTTGGTTGTCTTTTCTTTAATATCTCATAAGGAGAGATATTACTTTTTAACTTGGGAACTCGATTCAGGACATAGCAAATAGTCAACAAAATTTCCCCCACAAGTGAGAAGCAACACCAAAATTTAATATAATTGCAACAACAAGTTCAATAAGAGTTATATTCTTTCTTTCTGCTTTACCATTCACTTCAAAAGAGTATGGTGCAGTCATTTCATGTACAATTCCATGTATAAAATTCATCAAATAAACTAGAATCATATTCAGTTCTCCTATCACTACGAAGTCTCTTAATCTTCTTACTAAGTTGATTCTCAATTTCAGTTACATACATCTTAAACATGTGAAGTGCTTCATTTTTATTCTTCATTAAATATACATAAGTATAATCAGAATAATAGTCAATAAAATAACATTTACTATTTCTAGTTAAAGTTCCATGTAATTCACATATACCATAGTGTATAAGGTCTAGGGGATCAGATCCTTTAATAATTGATTTTTAAATTCTTTACAAAGTTTTTAAACATATCAATTTCATTCACAAAAATGTCATTCTTTGTAATGGTGTACAAATCTACCCCAATGGACTGACTAAACTATGTCTTATATAAAAGAAAACCAGAAACAAAATTCTTCCTAATCTCAAGAACATGTATGACGTCCTTCGAGATTAAAGTCTTTCTGGAGGTGAAATTCAACTCCATTTCTCCAATTCTAGCAACATTAGTGGTGTGGACATATCCCAACAACACTTTCTTATCTTTAGTATTCGTGTATGTTTTAAACATAACACGATCATAACAGACACGATGAGAAACACCAGTGTCTATCCACCAATCATCAAATTCATCAACCGTGTTGATTTCAATTATCATAGAAATAAATTTCCCATTAGTCAGTTTGACCTATGCATTAGGGGTAGCACCAGGTTCAAGCCTCTTCTACATTTCTTAATCTTATGACATGATTTTCCATGGTTAAAACAATGGAAAACAACATCATTTCTTTGAGGTGGTGATTGTTGCCTAGTTGGAGCAATTGAGACCATAGAAAGGATCTCATTCTTAATTCGGATCACAACATTGCAGTTCTGATTCTTTAATCATTTTCCAAATGGCTTCAGAACTACACCGAATTTTTATTTGTTGTTTAAAACAACCAAGACTTTTCTTCTTGATATTGTCTCTAAGATTCCTCTTTTTTTAACTCAAGGAGAATAATCAGATTCTAAAAAATACATCTAAATACATACCTTTAGTGATAACCTCATGAGAATTCCTTTTGAAGTTCATAACTTTGAGTATCCACAGATCTTTCATCTACCATCTGATACTTTTCGTAGTTGCTAAAATCATTCTTTTGTTCTCCAGCTTCTTCAATACTTGTTTTTCATAGCCTCGTAAACTTGTTTTGGAGTATCGCAATTATTGTAATAATCATATAGATCATTTGCGAGTCCATTTAGAATGTTATAATCATTCTCTTTCTATAAGGAGATTTCTTCCTTTAGCTGTAAATCCTTCTCTTTAATCTATGTTGTAAATTCAGATTCATTGAAATTAATAATTCAATCTAAGTTCATAGATTTCTTTCTATTCGTTTGTTCAACTGATCCAAGTGGAACAGTAGGAATGTCATCGGTCAAAATATTGACAAACTTCTTTATGGTTTGGAAAAACCTCACTTTTGTTGCCAACTTTTGAAATGCACTCCTTCAAACTAGAACGGTTTGTCCGAGACAATCTTAGAAGTACCGATAATTTCTTCAATAGCCATGGCAGTTTGAAACGTCTTAAAATTGTTGGTTCATGATTTTAAAAATGTTGCCACTGAAGAAATTACCGGGTTGAGTCGCGGATCAGTTCGCTCTCTTTAAGACGTTTCGCGGTACTGCCCAAAATTATGCAAAGCAGTCGAACTACCACGCCGCCTCCAGGATAAAACAGCCCAGTTCTATACTGTACGATTACTACTTGCACGATAGATAATCGGTCTAGAAATACACCCTCTAATGGTACTAAGACCATTCAAATATGGTATAAATACCACCGTAGTATCTGATATATTTACCAGTCATAAATATTTCTCAAACCAAGAGAAATTTCAATAATTCTTCAAAGAGAATTCAATAATGATCATTTTTTGATCACTCAAAGATTTCTCAAACAAAGAGAAATTCGAATAATTCTCTAAAGAGAATAAAAAAATTATACTTGAAAATTTCTCAACTCAAACGAGGAGAAATTAACATTATTCTCTATAAAGAGAATTCAAGAAAATACTCGGAAAATTCAACGAGTAGAAAGAAAGGGGAAGAAGTTGGCGCTTCGACAATTCGAAAGATGCAGAGTTATGAGAGTGAGGAAGGAAAAACTAATAAAATGTTTTTGGTGTATTTTGTAAGGAAACAAGTGACTTCCTTATATAATAAAGTGAGATGGTTAATATTTCTCACATGAGCAATGTGAGACTAAATGAATATTTTTTTTTTAATTCAATATGGAACATGGACATGTTCCAACACTATCTCTTCCATGAAGTAACATATGTAACATAGTTTAGCTCATCTGATATTCTGGTGTGTTTATGATGCAACTCCGAAATTGGAAATATAGTTTGAAGCTTCGTTTCCAAATCAGTTAGAAACAAGATTATCCCTATATCTACTATTCTACTTTAGTGTATTGAGGTTGGCCGCTCCCCGCGTCTATCCTGTTAAGACTGGTTTTGATATGAAAAATGCCGGTGTTAGAAACTGGTTCTGATATGAATAAACACCGGGAAATGCTACTCTTTAAGAGTTACATACAATACAAGACAATACTCTAACTGTCACAAACAACCCCTAGGAATTAGAGAGCCTATTGTCGCCCAACCTAGACAACATACAGAATACCCAATCCCCTCCCTTTTCCTTTCAGCCTATATTTATAACTATTAACTTTTTTCAGCAGTTTTTGACTTCCTGCAGATGTTAGACAGCAGTTACTGCAAATTCAACATTTAACAATAATAAAATAATTTGCCTACTAGTAAAACATAATTTCTGTTGCAGCATTAACTTGATTTATATGCTTCTTTCTGACATAAGTCCTAGTGATAAGAGGCCTTTTACTAACATATCCATTGTTAGTTTGTGTTTAAAACAATTAAATTTTATTGCAATTGTTGAGTTATTGTGATGTGAAGTCATGTGGTTAGGACTTAGAAACTTGCTTTGTCTATTACTAGCAATAGCAACCAAATTACGAGTCCTTGGCTTTTTTTCTTTTTTCATTGAAACTGAATGTTATGAACAATGACACCCCTTTAATTTCTGGAAGCAAGATTTAGCTATTATCTGAACTGGACTTTAAGATAAACTTAGCTTTTGAGTTATTATGTCTATAAAATTGAGCATATGTATTCTACTGAGTTTCTCAGCTGGTTTTGGGATGATCAAGAATTATTATCACCTATATGATATACCGATGAATCATACAAAGACATCTTTTAACCCGTATGTGTATTAAAGATGTCTTTACATGTTTAGTTTTTCTTGTTTCTACATTTGTTCTGTGTGGCTTGTTATATTGATGATGGAGCATGGGTTTGATAATTGTTAATGATGAGGGACTAGTTATTATGGTAACAAAAGTCATGTTTGTCTCTCTTCATTTATGCTATTTGTTTATGACATTTTGTTCTTTTTTCTCTTCGAGGTATCTTTTCTCGTACATGATGAATGTGTTGTTGGGTTTGTGATGAATGTATCAACTAATAAGTAGCAATTATTTGATTATGCTGCCAAACTAGAGTTTGAAGTGTCACTGTTGTTACTACTGAAGAACAATTATTTTAATCATTATTGTTTCTATGGTCTATTTATCTAATAAACCCCACCACTTCAACGTGTACATAATATAGCCATTAAACTAGAAATTTGAGATAAGCAAGCTGTGGTAATTTACTCATAACTTTTTTTTTGGTTACGTTTATGAAGTTAAAATGTGTGTGATTGTAGATTTTCTCCAACTACAATTTTTCCCCTTAATGACAGTGGCTTTGAAGAACTCCTTAAATTATTGATACGTGAATCATTAGTCTGTATTGTATCTATAAATAACTATCGAGTATTTAGCTGCTGATTTAAATAGAAGAATTCTGATAATCTGATGGAAGATTCTTGTCCAGGGCATATATCAGGTGTGATGATTTTTGTTGATACAAGTGGAGAATCCTTAAGGAAAATGCAAAATTCTGGGGTAAGCTTTTGGTTTTCTCTCTTTTTTATTAATGTGTTTTGTATTCTTCGAATACCACTTCCCAGCATAATGATTCCTTTGTTTAATCTTCATATCCATATCAGTTATGAAAGCTTATATTAGTTGGTTCTCAGAGATTTAATTTTTTTAAGCCGATTGAAAGTTTATTCAAATAATAAATATTGCCTCAAAAGATTTCACCTTGCTTTTCACATGGGCTGTAAGTGAAATGTTTTTTTGCTGGCTCTTTACTATTACAGTATGTTTCTTGAGGTATTGAGTGCAACCAATTTGTTGTGTACATTCAGAATTCTGTTGGAGGGCAATCTGAATTTACTGGTCATCACTTCAACTCAAAGATAAAGTAAGAAAATTGTCTGTTGGTTTACAATCTACATGAAGATGTTCCCATTTGATTGCTTTCCCCATCCCCACACCTTGCCTTTACTTCATTCTAACATTCAAGATACATATTACCTCTTGCTAGGAGGCCTGATGGCGTGCATGGTGTGCTTCTACATCACAAGTAACTCTCTAACTTGTTAATACACTTTTAGGCAATGGATGAAAAATTAACTGATACATGCATCTACAGGACTGCAAATGAGCAATCTCTGCTCACATTTGCAATTGCAGCAGAAGAGACTGAATATGTTCATATCTCAGAATGCTCTGTCTTTGTTATATCTAGTTCTCACAAAGGCATCTCCGCGAAGGACATGTGGCATGAAGTTAAACAGGTTATGAACCTGCTTTCAGATTTTATTGATCTTTGTTTTTTTGAAATGTCTATGTTCGGTGTTATTACCATCAAGTTATTCATTCTTTATTCAGGCTGTGTTGCCCCATATAAGCTATCACTATGCTCCAAGCATTTTATAACACAAGTACTTGAAGACGTGGATGAATGAGGTGGAGTACATGAAGGGATAAATGAATAACGTGTCATAAATTCCAAAAGGTATACACCTGTCATGATATACTATTTTTGAAGTTGAAAACATGGATAACACATGGGTGTAATTTGATTCCATAGGTATTGCTGTCAATGTTGCAAAAGAAAAACATGCACTTTTTAAGGACAATAATTATGCTCTTTCTTGATATCCTCTCATGTGTCATGTGTTTCGATATCATGTTTTTTTAATTCAACCAGTGTTATTGAGGTATAAATCAACTTATGTACCCAACAGGTATCCCACTTACAACAGTTGTTTCTGGGTATTAATGCATAATGTATTTTGCTCGTTATTTTTGTTGTTTATTTGTGCAAGGTTTAATTCTTATTGATGTCCTAATTGTCCTTTGGACCAAAAATATTTATGGTTGATGTATTTTGTTTTATTTTCTTATGCAACAAGGTATTAATGAAGATTTTGAAAAGGACGATATAAATGATGAAATTCAAGAGGACGACGTAGATGCTGGATTTCAAGAGGATGTTATATGTGATGAATTTCAAGAGGACGACATAGATCTAGATGATGAATTTGAAGAGGACGGTGTAGATGGTGAATTTAAAAAGGATGACATAGATGAAGAATATCTGGAGGACGGCATATGTGATGAATTTCAAGAGGAAGATCTGGATGACGTATTCCAAGAAGACAAACTTGAATGAATTGGATGATGTCTTTTTTTTTGGCTTGTAGTTGAAAGCATTAAACTTGAACTATGTTTTTTGTTCTTCTGCTGAACTTTGTTTTTTGTTATTTTACTAGGGTCATACTTCAAAGTATTAAACTTAGTGTTATAAGTAATGTTATGTTAGACATTTAGTTTAGTGGATAGTATCTTGAATTAATGTTTGAACTCGATTTTATTATAATATAACTTTTGTGGAGGTACGGTTAAATTTGATATGGTTTAAATTACAATCGACAATTTTTTAAGCCAGTATTCATCTACTAAATTATTTAGAAAATAATTGCAAAATTGTATATTTTATATGTACACCGTAAAACAACAACCTATAAGCTATGGCTACACTTTAAAAACGATCCTCTTGATTCATATTTAAGGCAACGGTTATTAATTGTAGCCGTATATGGAAACGCATAAAAAGCGTCACCTTAGAGGCCATAAATAATCGTTCCCTATTCCTTTAATTTAGGCGACGCTTTTAAAAAGTGTGCCCAGAGAACACGAAAAAACGTCCCCTTAGGCTATAGGCAACGCTCGCACAGGAGACGCCTGAAAAACGTCGTCTATTCTTTTAGGCAACGATTTTCAGAGTTCTGACAACGTTTTTCAAATGTTGCCAGAGGCAACAAATGTTGTAGTGTTCAAATTTTTGTCATTTAAGGGGTTTTAAAACCACCGCTATTTGTTTGTTATTATTATTTTTAATTTTTTAAATAATTTAAAGGGGGTTTATGTTAGTGGGATTTTTAATTATTACTATGATATATTAAATTTCAAAAATGGTGGAGATTAAAAATCTTCTAAATTTATAGTGAGTGTATATTAAAAAAAAACCATATATATTAGTTACAAGTATAAATTTGAGTTAATATTTGAATATTGTATTAACATAATTTTTGTGGTACATGTAATTTTTGTTTGAATTGTAGTATATACATTTATTAAGTGTTCTCGATATTTCATTTTTAGGGAACAATTTATAATTTTTGTTAGGTATGACAACATTTGAAAACTGTTGCCATAGATTGTTTCCACACTATCTCTTTTAGAGAACGCTTTGTAGTTGTTGCAAGTTATGAGAACATTTGAAAAATGTCGTCTAAATTGGTTAAGAAAAATGTCTCCCTTTCTTATAGTTTAGGGGACGTTTTAGAAAAATGTGGCCAGAGAGTGAAAAAAACGTTGCCTTAAACAATAGGCAACACCCGCATAAAGGACGGTTGCAAAGCGTTTCCTATTCTTTTAGACAACGTTCTTCATAATTCTGGAAACACTTTTCAATTTTTGTCAAAGAGGAAAAATGTTGTAGTGCATGCACATCTTCGAGAATAAAACCCAAATAATCTATGTGCCAAGAATCTCTATTCTCTGGCGCGCATTGTTTCACCAGTCCTCGGTTTCTTCTTTCAATATATGCGTGCTAAACTGCACCTTTTGATTCTCCGTGTAGACCATCACTCATAAAATCTTTTCAATTCCCTTAAGCCATGCTTGCACACCATCTGCATCGTGCCTGCCTTTGTAGATCGATAGGTTGTTCCTCTGAAACATCCCCATGCACGAGCTTCATCATCATTCCCACCAGCATTAGGCAGGTTCTGCATAGCCTGAGCAACAACCTGTAAAGCAACAACGATCACATCATTGTTCCTTCCAGCCATTCTTCTTCTGTTTTATACAACAACAACGATAAGTGTTAGAAACTATACCGACAGTATTCCACTGTCACACACTACAGACTCATCACCTGGTCGGACAAATCAACCGGGCTCTGATACCACTAATGTAACCAACAAATATTATAATTAAATAATTAGAGTATTACACCAAAAGGGTGTCACATGCTTCATAAAACACGAAATCTACACGTCATTGCTTCGTAACTCGGACTTTTCAATATTTATAAATCATTTTCTATGCAGCGAAATTCATAGTTCAAAATATCTTTATTAAACTAACCATAGAAACTTCACCGTTCATGGTTCATAGTTCAAAACAACATAAATACCATGAAAGGTAATTCAAAATCTCATGAGTAACAAAAAAACATAAAATTTGAAATCAAATGTTCCCGACCCCGATGTTACATATCAGAGCAAGACCTACTAAAAATCAACTTAAAGTAAAATGACACACTCTGAGCTATCTTCTAAGCTCATACGAACTACTCCTGATCACATGTGCGTTACCCACTTGGAGGCAATATTCAAACATAAAGGGTGAGTAATCACATTCATTACAAAAGATATAAGGAATAAACATAGTAGTTCATACAACAACATCATAGTATCAAAATCAACATCATTGTCAACACCTTGTCAATTATAACAATAATATATACAACATCATCTAAACAACAAGTATGCAATGCCACATAAAATGTAGTACAATAACATAGACCCGCGCATGTGGTACTAGTTCATTATGAGTACTAGACTCATCACCCTCTAAAGATCCCCACCATAGAATAAGTTAATAATGCGCCTAAGAGGGGGGGGGGGGTCAATTAGGTGATGGTCAATTTTTGCCTTCTTTTTAAAGTTCTCATTTTTCTCATTATGGTGATGAAAACAATAAAATGCAGAAAGTAAATGAACACATGATGTATATTGGTCCCCCTTACAGATCGAGAGTACTCTAGTCCTCTTGCCAACACGGAAGAGATTTCACTATAGTTTAGAATAATTGCACAAGCCTAATCACACCAAAGTTTATGCCTTACTATCTAATCTATAGGGAGATCAAAGGCTCTTAAAACCTTTAAGATCTTCAACACTAAGTGCAAGAAGAATAATCTTCTTCAATGCACACACTTGCTCTAACAATCCTGGAATGCAAGGTTAATCTTATACAAAATCTGATTTTTTTACAAAGTATGATCAATTATTGAATAACACAATGGTTATCAAGATACTAAGACAAGATTTAAATAGGAAGTTTATAGTCAGATCTAGTGCTTAATATATGCTGAAACAATGATGAGTATGAAAGTTCTAAACAATGTTTCATGCAATATGTAAATTCTCAAAGTTTTACAACACTTAACAATTTTTGAAATTTTGAATGAAATGTATTATGTTATGATATGAGTGCAAACTAAATTTATTATGAAATGCACCCTTTCATTACACCCTTAATGAGTAAAAAGATGTAATGGTTGGACCCCAAGAGGTATCATCCAACAACCATGTAAAACATAAAAAATTTGAATTTTTCTTCAGCGCTAACCGGTTACCGTAGGGCTGTAACGGGTTACACATGTATGATAACGTATATATTTTCAAATATGCATGCCTGTAACCTGTTATTCAAAAGATGTAACCGGTTATCACTGAACCAAAATTTTCATTTTTATTTCGTGAAGTCCTGTAACCGGTTACTGTAACCCTGTAACCGGTTACCACTGAGTGAAAGTGATACAAACATATTTTCTAAGTGATGGACATGCAATGTTTTACTCTTAAATGATCATGACACTTATGCAAAATGTTTAGAGTATATTTTGAGCACTATATCATCTTTAAAAACTCAAATTAACACTTATACCTAACTTGTTGATGAATCTTCATAATTCTTCATCTTTAAAGTTGATTGTACACATGTAGAAGACTTCAAAGAGTGATCTTGAAATATTATATGATCTTGAATATCTTCTTTTCCACAACCTTGATATTTCCTTGACTTTATGTATGGTGTTCTTCATCAAAACACTTTGTTTGGAGTGTATGCAATCACATTCTCCCCCTTTTTGATGTAGACAACCAATTTGACATTTGTAGCTTGTTCATCAAGGTGTTTGAGTGTAGCTTGTATGTGTACCATAGTGATGTTCATTCTCCCCCTAAGTTGGATATCTCTCCCAGAATTTATGTAGCCTTTGAAGACTTGTATTTCAAAGAGGAAGTTTTAAAATCTGGAAAAAATTTCTGCATCACTAAATACAAGCAAACAATGTCTTCTCCCCCTTTGTCAATATAAAAAAGGATGGGAAAAAGACCATAATAAACAGTATATAAAAAAATAAGGAAAAGATAACACAAGTTTATAACAAAACACAAAGTTAACAGACACTTAGAAACATATTAGACACGAGGTCTTTGAAGACATAAACGGTACGGAAGGAAATACGATACAAAATGCAACAAGATAAATCAGATGCAACTATGTACAGTCCCATGTTCTTATTTCGACTAGGTGGCAATAAAATAGGAGGCCTTGTTAAATATTCTTTGATTGCA